TAAACTGACACTTACCACACTTAGATTTGTGACTGAGCTCGTTAGCCCAATAGACTGACACTAAACTTCAGATTTATGAGTTAGCCCAGCTGGGCTTTTCCTTCACAGTTTATGACATTGAGTTTTGGTCTTTTTTTTTTAATTCTTGGTAGTGAACATTTGGGAAAGGACTATCCTTTCTGATCTTTACTCTCCCTCAGGCTGGCACATTAATGGAAGACCCATCCCCTTGTCTGTCTGCCTGCCTGACTCTGGTGTCAGGGCTGGAAGTCATCTGACTGGGGTTTGTATGGTTTCCAGGAGTGGCAAGAAGGCTCTTATCGCTGTGGTTTCTTTTCTCCTGTGATGCATTCCCGGAACAACCAGTTTCAACTGTCTCCTTTTAGAGGGACTTGGCAGCCTGCCAGTGCAGACACACTCAGACCACATGGGTTCTATGTGATGAAGTTTAGGCCCCCGAGGAGGAGACAGAATCCTCTCCGCTCTGGCCAGACCAGAAGGGACTGGATAAGACCAGATCTTGTGTCTGGAAGGCTCTCAGGACTAGCCCACCTCAGAGGAGGGACAAGATCAAACTGGGCAAGTCCAGCTTGGAATAACCAGCTCTGGAAGTAAAGAGCCAAGAACTAGGATTATATTTATTTATATAAGGCAGAGTTAGAGGCACTGGTAGTGGTAAGCTGAGGGGATGAAAAGTGAGGGGGGAGATGGAGAAACATGAACTTACGTTGCTTACATCCATAGCATTTTATCTCATGTCCTAATTGGCTGTCCATGACTGTCTTCCCCTTTCATTTTTTTATTCAAAAGTACTCAATGAGCATCTGCTATGTTTTAGACCTTTGCTGTCCGGTACCATAGCTACTAGACACATGTGGCTACTTAAATTTAAAGTTAAAATGAAATATAATTTAAAAACCAGTTCTTTGGCTGCACTGGCCACATTTCAGGTGCTCAATAGCCACAGGTGGCTCAGGGCTAGGATACGGGACAGCACAGATACAGAACGCTAACATCATAGTGGAATTTTTTATTGCAGTGCTGTGTTAGACCCTGTGTTAGACACCAGCAGTAGATCCAAGTGTAAAATCAGTCACTGCCCACATGGAACTCACAGTAAGCGAGTGAGACAAGTAAATGAAAAATCACACTATGTTGGGGAAAGTGCGGGGGCTTTGTAAGCACAAAGGAAGGACTACTAACTTAGTCTGGAGGAGGACAGGGATGGTAGGGAAGACTTGAAGGTAAAGAGGGAGATGGCCTCTAAGCTGAGGATAAATAGCCAGACAAGGATAGGTGAAGGGTATAAGGGAGCCGGGCAGAGGGAACACCTGTGCGAGGAATCAAAGGTGACAGCGAAATGAGCCAGGGAGCTGTAAGCAGTTTCGACCACTGAAGCCTATAGTGTGGGTGGCCGAGGTGGAAGATGTGGCTCAAGAGCTGTATCCCAAGCCACATAGACCTAATGAAGGAATTTGGATATTACTTATCTATTGTGTATAACAAACCACCCCAAAGCTTAGTGGCTTAAAAATGACGACTGTTGATTTGCTCACAATTCTGTGGGTTCGCAAATTGGGCTGGGCTCAGCTGGGCTGTTCTTCTGATGGTTACTCATGTGGTTGCAGTCATCTGATTGCCCCACTGGGGCTGGACGGTCTACAATAGTCTCATTCATATGTCCGGCGTTTGGTGCTACCTGTTGGATGGGCCACACGTCTAACATAGGCTGGGCTGGGCTTCTTCCCATGGTGGTAGCGTTCCAAGAAGACAACAGCAGAAACTATTAGGCCTTTTGAGGCTTAAACTGAGAAGTTGCACAATGTCACTTCCACCACATTCTATTGGTCAAAACAAATTATAAGGCCAGCTCTGACGGGAGAAGCTACAAAGAAATCATAGCCATTTTTAATCTATCACACCCTAGGATAATGTGGGCCTGACCCAAGGTGGTAGGTAGAGAGAAGTGGAGAGATTTTTATTCTGGGAATACTTAGGGGTCAGAATTGAGAAGTCCTGGTGATTGTTCTCAAACAAGAAGATAAAGTTACCAGTGACTCCTAGATCCTTGGCATGGGTGATTGATGAATGGTGGTGCCCAGCACTCAGAGAGAAAAGAGGAAGAACCGGTTTGGGGGAAAGATGATGTTTCCAGCATGAGTCATGTCAAGGATGAGGTGCCTTTTAGACAGCAAGGTAGAGATGGGCAGGAAGCAGGTGAATATGCAGCTCTAAAGAGAAATCTGGCTAGAGATACCAGTGTGGGAGTCTCAGGTGCTTTAAGCCTAAAGCATCTTCTAGGGGGCTGCATCCTTAGAGCTGGAGCATCTTATAGGCAAGGATCCAGAAAGTCCACTTTGTAGCCACACCTAGGCCCCAGAACAAAGCAATCAGTCTCTCCTGGTTGAGAGTTGCCAGATTGTTTTGGGGAAGAGGGATTAAGTTTTTAGGGAGAATCCTAAACTCTCAACTAAGATCAGTGTTACAAGTGGGCATGAGGGTAGATTCCAGCTCCTGCCAGGAGGAAGTCTCCTAACAACAGGCCACTGACTAGTAAATTAGTGAATGCATCATCAGTGAGGGATGGAAGAACCCCTATCAGGGATGCTGTGGAGGGAATTCCCTCTCTGGGTTGGAAGATAGACACAATGGCCAGCCCTGATACTCTGTGAAGGTAAATTTTCCTCACTACCCCAACCCCTGTTTCCATAGGCACCTAACTTTCAGAAACTCCGTTTCTTCACTGAAGGCAGTTCTGCTTACTGCAGGAGGTACCTACCAGAGGGCAAAAGAAATGTTGTCTAGAGTCCCTGCCATTCATTCATTCATTCATTTACTCATTCATTCAACAAACATTCAACAACCACCTAGTAAACCCAGTGCTCTGTACTAGGAATACAGAGATGAATAGACTCTAGTCTAGAGGCAATGCGACTGCAACTACAAAATCTTCGTCTTGTAGCTGCTGTTAGTTTCTGGAACTGTCTTTCCAATGGATCTCAAGAAGGTACTGAGGGGTCTCTTTGCTGTGGTGCTGGCTGCAAAGGTTTGATGAAAGAACGAATGAAAGGGATAGGGGAGTGGGAGACCTGGGGAAGCTTACAAAGGAGGGATCTCTGGGTGGATTCAGGGGAAACTCCAAAGGAAAAAAGCAACATTTCTATCTGGGCGAATAAAAATTTAAAAGGTGGCCTTTATTAAGTGCTTTCTCTGTGTATGTTACAGTGATACCTGCTTTCTTTGGATAATATAGAGTCTCTGGCGGCGTGGTCTTGGCACATCTGTCTTATTCTCTGGAACCTCATCCACGCATTGCTGCAGTAAGAAAGCGGGCGGGGTGCTCTCGGCTCGACCCTTGGGAGACGTCAGGCTGGCGGAACCGCGGTTCGGCGGCTGGCGAGGGCGCCCGGAGGCTTTTCGCCCGAACTCCCGCCTTAGCAACGCGCGCCTCGTTGCTAAGGGCGGAGGCGCGAGAGGCTGTGGATGCCCTCGGGGTTGGTGCCCCCAGTCGGCCTCGGCTCCTGGCCCGGCTGGCCCTCTGGTGGGTATGGAGAACAAGGCGGGAGGAAAGGGTGCATATGGCGGGCGGGGAGGTGGGAGCCCTCGCGCTCTCTGAGCCGCAGCCTCCCACCTGGCTGAAGCAGGGAAGGGGTTCCCAGGACCGGCCTTCGGTTGGGTGGCGCTACGCTCCCATCTTGGGCGAACGCCCCCCTCCCCCCCCTCATCAAAAATAAGCTTTGGCCTTTCGCATTGGAGGGCAAGAGGCATATGTGATCTGAAAGGCCAGAAAAGAAAAACTGCGCACAGGTTGTCCTCAAACTTGGGGCAAACTTGGGACTTCTGGCCTAGTACTGATCACCTGAATGACTTTGGGCAAGACTCGCTTATTCTCTGGGGCTCGATTTCCCATATCTATACCATTAGAAGTTCAAATCAAACCATTTCCCACGTCCTTGTGGTTTTATTTCTGTTTGAGCTTTGGTTTAGATTCCTTGGTCTCTTAGAGTGTAGGTTAGATGTATGGAGAGGGAGATTTGGGGAGAGGGAGGGAGATATGAAATCATCATTTACGTGAACAGTGGGCCAGAAGTCTAGGGGAATAGGGTCCTGTACCTCAGTTTCGCACCTGTGCGACCTTTAGCAAGTTACAATTCTTGAGTCCCAGCTTCTTCGTGGAAAATAACAGGTGGATATATGCTGGAGTATATCAAAGAATGTTGTACTGCAGAGTTAAAAGAGAATTCTGTGAGTTATGTTTAGAGTGAACACTGGATATATCAAGGCCTTTGGAAGACAGACTGGGGCAGAAATGGGTCCTGGGATTCAGATTTAGGCCTGGTTCCATCTGGAACCAACAAGTACCTTGAGAGCCATTTCCCAAGTCCTCTCCAGCCTTTCCAGACCTGAAATCTGGGACAGGGCAGGGCAACTACTCCCTAAAGAGTTTGTTGTTGGGCAGCTTTAAGGACCCTCATGTTGTAGAGTCCTTAAAAAGCTTCTTGCCAAGCAGACTCCCACCTTAGTATGGCATTCATTCACTGAAGAGATGTTTGCCTTGCATCTTTTCTCCCAGGCTATGCTTAAAGTGCAAATACAAAAATAAGATACTATCTCTCCTCTCAAGTATAGTATATGTTCACAATATAAACAACAGCAGACAACTGAATAGTATTTTCATTTCTTAGTCTACTTCATAATAAATTACAACAACATGGACATATCTAAGTACAAATATTTTGTTCTCAAGCTTTTATATTGCCTTGCTATATATTATCCAACATAATAACAAATTCTTAGCCTTAGTGTGATCAGTCACTCTGTTCAGGAGACATAATCGGCTTCAGTTTAATATCCTCTAGACTCATATCCACTTGTATATGTTCTCTGTGCATATCTGTAATGTAAGTTTAATATATGTGTAATAAAAGTAGAAGTAATAAGAGTGAAATTGCTGTTTTCGGCATTGCTATCACTGTTAATCTAGTAATCATGCTAGTAGTCCTTATTTGTTACTAACAGTTTGCCTGGTTGAACTATGAGCTTTAGAGGTACTAGCTTTTATGGAGATGCAATATAGTAAGGTGGTCGAGAGCAAAGCCTCTGGAGTCCGAACGCCTGGATTCAAGTTTAAGCTTTGGCTCTTATTTGCAACTTAATTTGTAAACTTGGGCGAGTTACTTGACATCTCAGTGCTTGATTTTTCCTATCTGCAAAATGAGGATACTAACAATGTCTAGCTCAGAGGCTTGTGGACTAGGTTAAATGATTTAAATATAAACATTTAGAACAGTCCTTGGCACATTTTAAGTGCTATTTTTAATCTTCACAGAAGCCCAGTGATAGAGTTATTTTCCCATTTTACATATAGGAAACTGAGAGAGAGGTTCAGCAGCTTGCCCTAGGTTGCAGTAGAGTTGTAATTCAGACTCAGGCCTCATTTAGAGGCTAATGCACTTAATTAAATATTATTCTTTTTTGTACTTCTCTTAATTTTTAGAATAAGCTATGCTGTCAACTGATAATTAACATTTATTTGAATTTTAAAAATAGAGTTGTTAAAATGCAATAAAACTGTGTTTCTTCTTTGTAGATGTTTATAATGGAAATTCTGGACTAGAAGTGAAGAGAGCTACCTAATTATAATTTGCAGCAAACAATGTTTCTCCTCACATTTTCCAGATTTTTAAATAAAGAGTTTATATGTGATGATTTTGAAAAGCTCTTCCACTCTCAAGTTCTGTGATTCATGCTTATTAAAGCACTATTTTAAACATGAGAAATTGCCTTTCTCACAAAAACAATAAGCCCTGAAGTAAGCAGTCACCTCTGAAGATTTTTGATGAACAGAAGTTCTATGAGTAAAATAAAAATGTTTAATGATGAGCTTAAACATACCTTATTTTGCATATTTTAAAAAGTTGTATAATTATAGTATAGTTTCCCTAATTATTGGAAATGTGCAAGTTATAAAATCTTGGAATTTTGTAAGATACCTCTTTCTTTGTGAGGAAAAACTACACTTAGCAATCTCTTATTTACCTTGTAAATCTCCTTTCAGTGCAAACATAAGCTTAGACAGAGAAGAGATTAATTTAAGTGTCTTTTCACTAATTATAGAGATTAGGAAGTGGCTGCCTGAACTATTTTCCAAAGGATAAACATTACAAAGCATTGAATACGGCAGCTCACCAAGAAGATCCTACTGGTTTGGGGGTGAGTAATTCTAAATGTTATCTTTTCCTTAGAATGTCCCATGAATACTCTCCAGATGGGAAGTGACTCTCTGAAATACCAGCTAAGAATCCAATTAATTTTAGGCAGAGCCAATCCATTTATAACATTTGCAGTTTCCAGTGACCTAGATCTATGGATGGCATCTGTCCTTAGTTTGATGACAGTGTTGAAAAGTGGGTTAGACTGACAGATAGAAAGCCCTGCAACCTCTGTCTGTCTACCAACAATGCAATATTTCAAGCTTTTTGAAAACTATCCTGGAATTTTTCTTGTGCGCATGCTTGTGTTACCAGGAAAACTGGATTTGCCTCTTGGTGGTTGTCCAGCCAAAAGACACAAATAAGCCAAAGAGCAGGAGAAGAAAGGATTTATTACTTGCAGCAAGCAAGGAGAACACTGGGGATCTTTCCCAAAGCAGTGTCTCTGAACAACAAAATTGGGGAAGTTTTAAGCTAAGGGTGCATGCATATTTATGAAGGGGCTCAGGTGGTGTATACATATTCATGAGGGGCTTGGGCAGAGGAGAATTCAGCATAGAACTGGGGCAGAGGTTGACAAGAGTACCAGCTCTAGTTGATTGAAGTCACTGAGGATCAGCAAAGGTCAGCATCACCATTCATTAGGTTCCAGTTAGTCTGGTGGTTGAATGCTCCAGGGGGTTTGGGATTGTGCAGAATAGCTCAAGAATGTGCCTCAGGCTAATCAAATAGAACTGGGAGTCTTTACAACTGACTTATTGTCTCCCTGGCCTGATCAAGAGCAAGCCTTGTGGCCAGGCTTAGATCACAATGTGACTCAGACCTAAAATGGCTTCTCTTATATCAAGGAACTTACGGCTGGTTCTCTTCCTCTGGGAACCGACCTCCTGCCCTATCTGCTTACCCTTGTGCTTGTTCTAGAGAATCCTGCAATGTCTGACCTGGAAGAGACCTTAGGTTCACTATTTCACAGTAAATGTCTTTGTCACACTGTGCAAGGTAGTTGAGGTACAAAGATGAATACAAGAGGCCTTCCTCTTATGGAGGAGGGAAGTGAGATGAGGCAGGCGGGGCTACAGCCCAGGGCTCTCGATGCCACTCACAGTGTTCTTTTCACAGCATTGCCTTCTGTACTGGTTACCGATTCTTGTCAGGAGGTAAATTCTGGCAACTTCTCAAAGCATAGGCTGAAATTCTTCTGGAAAACTCTGGGGTTTAAAGGTAGTGATATGATTGAGAATACCTGGTGAATTTTAGCTGCCATGGCTCCCTGTAGACTGTTCTTCCTAGAACTAGGCTGATCGCGTTCGGGAGAGGGAGATGTCATGTCCTGGGGCCAGCAGGAATCCTTAGGGTGGCCACTAAGTGAGGGTTCTTGGCTTCTCACAGGGAAGAATTCAAGAATGAGCCGTAGTAAAGGGAAAGCAAGCTTATTTAGAGAGATACACACTCCAGAGGCAGAATGCAGACCGTCGCAGAAAGTGGGAGCAGCTCCCGGACATGGGGTCATAGCGTTTTTACGGGTGACGTAATTTCATAGGCTAACGAGTGGAAGAAATATTCTTGCTATTTTGAGGATTTCCCAGGAATTGGGGCACTGGCCACTTTTTGACCTTTCATGGTCCACCTCAGAACTGTCATGGCCTAAGGGGAGTGGCTTTTAGTATTACAGTGAAGGTATATTAAGCTAAAGGTCAATGACCGGACTGTTCACAAAGCTGCCTTGGTCTCAGCTGGTTCTAGCTGGTCTTTATCGTATCCCAACGGCTGTGCCCCTTCTTCTTTTATCTCGTGTTTGGTCTGTGTCTTGCCCCTTTCCCTCCTGTCTCAGTTGTGCCCATAAGACACTCATCTCCTAGAATTTCTTTAAGCAGAGCCCCAGAAGAAATGGGAACTGAGTACTCCTACCTCCCCATTTTCTTCCCTCTGTCCTCTGGCATCTCAGGGGACAGCTAGCTGCAGAGAAACATGACCCAGAGTAGCTGCGATTAGGTCCTAGCCACATACCTTCAGTCCCAGCAGGATGTCTACACCGGCCACATCTCCCCGTCTCTTTTTTCCTCTGTTTCACCAACAACCAGTATTGGAGCTGCACACAGTCAGTGCTTAGGGGGTGTTTCCTGAATGAGTGTATGAGAGGGTGGTATTATTTTACATTTTTGCAAATCTCTTTACTGTTTGGCTTAAACAGAAGACAGTTGGATTCTCATGTCTGCTTCTGCATTTAGTCTAGTGCAGTATGTTGTGTGGGTTGTAGTATAAGAAGAAAGTCAGGCCTCACGCAGACATAGTTGGAAAAAGGAGGCCCTCACAGACTCCCTGAACGGCTCTCAGGAATCCCCAGCTGTCCTGAGATGACACTTTGAGAACTGCTGGTCAGGTCATTACCTGTATTGTCTCATCTAGTGTCATTATCTCTGCATCTCATTCTTACTACAGAATAACCTCATGACCCTGGCACACTGATTTAGCGAAGTGTCACAGTGAAATTATTTAATAGCAATCTGGCAAGTTAGAAAGGTTATAATCTTTTAGAATAACTACGGCTCCTTTTCAAGAAGCTTCACTAGTGTAAATTATTCATTATTTTCAAATACACACTCTCTGTATTTATTTTGTGGCAGAATATACATAACATAAACTTTATTATTATTATTTTTTAATAGACAATGTTATGCAACCATCACCACAGTCTAGTTCCAGAACATTTTCATTGCCCCAAAGGCAACTCTGTACCCATTAAATAGCCACTCTGCATTCCCCTTTTCCTTGGCAGCCACTAATCTGCTTTCTGTCTCTTTAGATTTAAATAGATTCATACAATATGTGGCCTTCTGTGACCGGCTTCTTTTGCTTAGTCTGTTTTCAGGGTTCATCATGTTATACAGTATGTATCAGTACTTCATCCCTTTTTATGGCTGAATAATATTCTGTTGATAATATAGCATTTTATTTATTCATTTATCCACTGATGGACATTTGGGTTGTTTTCACCTTTTGGCTGTTGTGAACAGTGCTGCCATGAACACTCACGTATAAATTTTGGTTTGAACACCTGTTTTCAATTCTTTTGGCTATATACCCAGAAGCAGAATTGCTGGATCACATGGGAATTCTGTATTTGACTTATTGGGGAACATATTAGTATTTTGTAAACCACTTTTGTTTTTGTTTTTGTCTGCTAATGCTTTCCTGGAGGATGCATTCCCAGGGCCATAAGAGTGAGGCAGGGAAAGGATAATGCATACAATTAGTCTTTTTCAAAAACAAGGAATTATTATTACATAACCATATTACCCACCATTATCGTGCCTAGCACAGTTAACGGTATGTATTCTCCTTTTTACTAAACAGGGAACACAACTTCCAGCAGCCACAAGGTATGTTGCTACGCAGGTGCCATCTGAAATGAGCTCTTCCCCAGAAGGTTTCGTGCAGGTTCTGTGCAGTGATGGGGAAATTGCAAAGCAAACTCAAACACAGCACTTATAAATACAGGTACAGCAGTCCTACCTCGGGATCCCAAGTTTTATCAGGCTGCATTAAAATTCT